TGCATACCAAATTGCGTCACGATCGCAAAAGTCCTTCTTGATGCTTCGATTTTTTTGCAAAAACGTGTATTTGTGCAGTTATTTAGAATTGTTTTGAAGCCGAAAAACGTGTTTGAATACTTGTCGATGAAAATGAAAAGAGCCAGGATTCTAAAAACGCTGGACGTAAATATGTAAGGATCTTAAGTTTGACAAACGTTTACTTTATTTTAAAACTTTACTATCATCTCTTATTTTCCACTTCGGCCAGAATAAACGAGTTACGTTGTTTATGCAAATTGTACTGGCTAACGCTTAAGTATTTACGTTGTGGCTTTTCGCCAAGAACAGAGTGAGCCTCTTTACCACTGTCCTCCTTAGTGAACCCCCTTTAGTCCTTTCGATATTTAAGGCGTATTGTAGTTTTCCTCAGTTTGCGCTCTGAATACTAATAAACTAAAAGGCCAACCTTAGTGTTAGTCTTCTGTATAAAGTATTCAGTGTTAGCTCTTATTTAAATTTAGTTAGTTAGTAGTTCTTATATTTTTACGTTTGGTCTTGTATCCCGAAGTGCGGGAGCGCCTGTAATATCGTGGAGAATAAAGGGTAGTTGAACCCTTCGCATCTTAGTCATCTTTTTTTCCAATTCCCACAGAACATAGCTTCCAGTTCACTGTTCCCATTCAGGACACATCATGCTCGCAAAGCAGATAAGAAGGAATAGTAGTCCTGATAAATAAATTTTGGTTCCCATACAAAAGCCCACTGGACGAAAGCGCACGCGACAAAAGCCCACATAAAAAAAAGCTCACTCTGATAATTGCCGACGCGACATATACTCTCAGCGATGAAAGCGCACATTGATAAAAGCCCACATTGATAAAAGCCCACATAGATATAAGCGCACGCTGATAAAAGCCCACACTGATTAAAAGCGCACATAATCAAAAGGGACTTATGCTTTTTTATTACTAAACCGTGTATTTATAATTTTAATTATAATAAACGAAGTATTCAGATCTAAATTTTAATGTCTCAACTATGTCTGTTTGTATATTTTATCACTACTTTATTTGTTTAATTTATTAGGTCGAAATAATCAGAATAAATAATTTTATTTCTTTTTAGCTTTTCCTTTAGTTCCTTTTAGTTCTTTTTAGTTTAAGAATATTAAAATAGTTAAGCACAATGAAAACTTGGCTAAGAGATATTTTATTCTTTACTTTAGACTGAGCTTATTATCAAAAGTTTAAACATATTTCTCTTTGAAAGCTGTTTTGAATGTAACAATTATAATTTGGCGATTTTCTAGAAATATTTTCTTTTAGATTTCTTAATAAATTAAAACTGTCAGCTGACACCCTGTCAGAAAATGAATTCCAAATGTAACCTTTTAATCTTTCAACTACAGCAATTTGGAATAGTGTTTTTAATTTTCATTTCATTTATTTATTTATTAATTTTTTGGAGGGGGATGGAACAACTGTTAGAAGTCAACATATCTACAAATCTAAGTACAGTCACCTCAAACTATAGTAATAAATATGTAGCATTTTATTAGAGATTGTGAAGATTACAAAGAACTATGCATATAATAACATCTAATTAAATTTTGTAACTACATAAATATATATTTATAGAGTAATCAGATTCAAAGTTCATCGTTTTTAGATTCTAAGTATACATATTATATAAATTCATCATTCATTAATAGCATTATGTATAGTAATAGAAAATTAGTATTAATGTTTCAAATTGAAATTTTTTAATAATTTGTCTGGCATTTGCTGTATATTTGTTCAAGACGCACGGATATCAGTTATATAACATGGAAAATACACAGAAAGCAGCTAATCTTATATAACATCTGATTGTGAAAGAAAAATTACAATGCTCTTATTTACAGTTATAGTGCTTTTAAATCTTCCTATAGTAAACAACCGGTTTCTAATTCACATTAGATTAAACTAATTCCATTATCTATTAGAAAATAATTATAGTGAATTATATCTATTGACGACATTTCTAAGAGTGAAACATGTGAACAAACATTGCCAGCGAATATCACATTTCTAAGACCACCATATCTACAACCAAAATCCTTTAAAACCGTGAACGGTTGTGTTTATTAGAGAGCTCGCTACATTTTTAATAAAATATCTACATCTTCGTTATACACTTGCTACATTTTGATTTTCTGTCAAAGCAGAGGTACAGTGGTTCAATTTTTTAGAAGTATGTGAAATTAAAAAAATGGACACTATATGGCAAAAATGGAATTAGATTCAAAAACATACCTCTTGAACATGTCTGGAATTCTAAGGGACTTTCTAATGGGAAACTGGCTCGTATATACTTGACACATGGGGAAAACCCCATGCAGCCAACCCGTTCGAGGAATTCGAACCTCGGACCGAACTACCAGTGTTCAGCGACTTTACCGCTCGACCGCTGGTGGACGCAGTTTATCTAAAGAAAATGTTTGGTAAATATTAGACTCAAAGGCTAAGTCAGGTCAAAGTAGTAAAAAGGTCATTTCTTCTGAATATATCTTTTCTTAATCATAAAGTGTCTTTTCGAACAGCGAATGAAACGGGAAAGACAGAATAAGTGCGAACGGCAGCGGACAAATGACACTATTTCGAACTCGGCATGAAAAGAGGACGGACGAAATGGCACTAAGCCAAGGGTGGTGTGGTGTATTGAGAATACGGCAAAGCACACTAGGGCTATCTGCCTAAGGGGAGGGATGCCTTCGTGGAGGACTTTCTAAGGGAACTGGCTCGTATACACGTTAAACATGGGGAAAACCACGAAAACGCCCATGCAGCCAGCCCGTTCGCGGGATTCGAACCTCAGACCGAACTACCAGTGTTCAGCGATTTTACCGCTCGGCCGCTCGTGGGACTAAGCCAAGGGAAGGCATGACTTCGTGGAGGACGTTTTAAAGGAAACTCTCTCGTATACATGTTACGCAAGAGGAAAACAACGAAAGTGCCCATGCAGTCAGCCTTTCCATCGGGATTTGAACCCCGGACCGAGCTACCAGTGCTCAGCGTTTTTACCGCTTGGCTGCTGGTAAGTCTTGTGCTTAGATGAAAAGCTTAAGAATTGGATGACTGACGCTTTCTTAATGTACAGCTTTTATTCCATTTTTTTTATTAATTTTAATTCATCTAACTAATTATTTATTTTTTCCGATATTTTCAAAGATTTTCCGAACTTTTTCCCAGATTTATTTTCAAAGGAACAATATCTAGAAAGTTTTGCGAATCGAAAATAAATGATTAAGTCTTAGATGAGATACGTTCTACCAATCAAAAAAAATGTTTTCACGTTTTAATATATGTAATAATTTAATATATGTAATAATTTCATAAATTTTAATATATGTAATAATTTTTTTTAGAAATAGTTCACAGTTTTACTTTTAAACAATGGCTTTGCTTCGATATAACAAACATGTTTAATTAGTTCATGAAAAAGTTGTTAGAGGCAGTATCGAATCAGGAACTAGCATATTTTTCCACTCTGCAGTTTTACTGAAAAACAGTCAATTGTCCCTATAAAAATGGTTAAGAAATAGTTAATTCCTTTCGTTTTCCAGTTATTGAAATTTTTTAAATAATTGAAATTCTAAATAATCCTTAGATAAAAAGTTATTCAAGAACTAGACTAAAAAAATGCAAGAAAGGGGTTAACTTCAGTTACAAGCGTAATTTCAGATATTGTTATTTTCTAGTAACTAACAAAAAACATTGAAAATCCTCTTTAATTTATTCCTGACCAACCTTTAATTGCTCTCCTGCCACCCCTTTCCTTCAGAGGCCATTCTTTGGCACCCCAGGTTAGCAATTAAGCTCTTTAACTACTTTTTCACACAGCTGGGGGCAAAAGAAAAGGAACGCAATGGTTTCCCGCCTGAATCAGTTAGAAAACTGCATGACAAAAGCCCACAAGATGAATGCCCACTTAAAAACAGCACCCATTTTCAGGAAATCCAAAATAGCTATGACTCCCTGAAAAATTTTACGAGTAATAATTGTTATGATTAAAAATGAAATTTCAAGTGGGAATGAAATTAATTTATGTAAAATCCAAGTTGTCAAAATTTAACTAGATTATTTGAAACCGTGTTTTTAATTCACCATTAAAAACAGTGTTTGTGATAGAGCACACAAATGTTTTCATAATCTTAACAGATACGGTACTTTTATTTTTTTCGTTGAAATAAATGTTCGGCTCCATATTAAACTCATTATATGCAAAATTGTCTGCAGTGATAAATTATTCTCCGTGTATGATGAAAATTTACATCCATTTTATACTCCTTATAATTTTGTAGAATTAAAAAAAGCAGTGTGGCCAGTATTCCCTTTCCCCTCCCTTTGTCGGACTTATACGAAGGTACTTCCATTTGTCGCGTAAATATAAAAACAAAGTTACACATACATGTATAGGTTTTTAATTATATTATTTTGATTGACTCTCTGTTCTATATACATACAGGATTTTAATTCAGTCGGAGCCCAAAATTAAATGTGTTCCGCTACTTAAAGTTATTGTTCAATTATTTGTTATTAATTTAATTTTCATTTTATCTTTATTCATGAATCTGCTTTGTGAAGCTGAAGAAAAAAGGGAAAAATATTAATTTTAACGTAGCATATATAGCGATGTGTGTTTTTGCCAATGTGGGCATTTATCAGCGTGCGCTTATATCTATGTGGGCTTTTATCAACGTGGGCTTTTATCTGTGTGGGCTTTTATCAATGTACGCTTTCATCGGTGTGGGTATTAGTCGCGTGGGCAATTATCTCAGTGGGGTCTTTTTTGTGGGCTTTTATCGCGTGCGCTTTCGTCCAGTGGGCTTTTGTCTTGTCACCATAAATTTCAGAGGTACTGTTTACTTTGTCACACATTCTCCGTCATTAAAATTAATACTTTATTAAGAAATGATTCGGGTAAGAAGAACCCACTGTGAATGAAACCATTAAATGCATTGAATTCTTTTTATACAGAGATCCGATGTCCAGATCCAGGGGTTCCAGAGTATGGCTTATCTTCCAGAGATAGCTTGAAAGTTGGCAGCAAAGTCACCTTCTTTTGCTTCAATGGTTACAATCTCATCGGATCATCTGAAAGGTATTGTATGCCTAATGGCCAATGGAACGGAGAAGTAGCCAGATGTGACAACGAAGGTAAGTCTAATGAAGTGAAAAGCATAACATTCTGCCTCTAACATATAATCAATAACATATAACATATAATCTATAACATATAACATATAATCATAACACCATACTAACATATATCGATACAATGTATACATCCATTGCCTTCTCAGTTGCTTTTCGTTTATTACCAGAAATAAATGATGACTTCGCTTTTTCAGTCGCTGGGCAAAAGAATTCTCAACTCTTTTTTTTCTACATAAGATACATGTTTTTAATTTTCTCTTTTCACATTCGTAACTCGAAACGAAGGTTCCGTTTGACCTTCGGATCTGCGCAGTGCTACAAATGTATTTAAAGTTGCTCCAGTTCATGTAGCTAATTATTTATTTCTTTGACATTTCCCACAATTTTTACCACTCATAAAGAGGTAAATCTCTTTGATACAAAAACTTAACTCCATAACGTACGTTTGTTAAATTACGTGATTGAAATTTGAAGGCTCATTTTAAATGCTTGCACTTAGATCTGTTTACTGTCCTAGATAACTACTGCCCTGACCCTGGAATTCCTGTGAATGGAATGAAGAATAGTAGTCATTATGATATGGGAAGTAAGATTCGCTTTCAATGTAGGCCTGGTTATATTTCAATGGGATCGGGTCTTATAGAATGTCTGCCAAACAGAACCTGGTCAGCAAAAGGAATGAAATGTATCGGTAAGTTTAAAATCTTTATAGGAACACGTAAAATATTTTAGGTGTTATTATATATATTATCTATTCTAAACTTTAAATTTTGTATGTTGAGGAACAATCTGCCGTTTATTCCTCAACATAAACCATCATAGCCATACAAGCCGTCATATTCGAAGCCATACACAATCTTTGAAAGATACAGTGACTTAGGCCTCTACGAAAGTCATGGACAAGCAAGAGTCATGGACCTTAATGTGTCAGAAATATAACTGTGGTTGTCCAAATAACCGGCAGTGCGAATAAGAGATGACCTGGATGCCCAATGACACCCAATAACAGCACTCCATTTGCTGTGTCCATATTACGGTGATGAATACAAGCTGGTAACGTTCATTCTCCTCGGTGCCTCCACACATGACTACGTCAAACATAATGCTGTGAGCATGCACGAGATTAGTCGCATTTCGTCGAAGACTGCGTATTATTGCGATATGTAGGGAAAAACATGGCAACATGAAGGAAGTATATTGCCACAGGAAAGAGTTTAGATTTCCAAAGTATTTGATGAACATTATAAATGGCAATAGAACAATTTTGGAAATTTTCGTCTGATATTTTTAACAGTACTTTTGTTTTAATATGTATTGGGTGCGCTGCGTTACTCATGAGGCCGATTGTTATCCTCCAGGAGAATTGCAGCACACTCGTATATTACATTAAATTACTATACCTGAGATCAGTCTCAAAAAACGACATAATGCCTTTGGTACACCCAGTGATTTCGTTCGCCGTGCTGACAGTCTGTGGTACCGCAGATGTCATCGCACCGTCCGTGTAGGGACATTTGTCGTTCTGAACAAGAGTTAAGTTCTTGACTTAGGGAACGTAACCTGGCTGTAAGATAGCAAAAATTCGAGAGGACAGCATGTCTGTCCTCTAGAGCGTTAGTGGCCCCGGGCTTCTGAGATACTCCATGGCGTTCAGTAGGGCCCTTCTGATCTCATTGATTTCATATTCGCCTGCCAGACATTGTTCTAGATCATCACAAATAACATAAACATGACTTTTACACAAAATCCAAAGTTTAAATGTAATTTTCAAACAAGAAATGCTTTGTGCAATCTTCCAATTTATGAACAATGGTGTTACTCATACCTGCTTGGTGCTCATGCATTGGAACGCTAATCATTTGCTTATATCAGAATGTAGAAATTTTCGTACAAATCTGACTATTTTCTGCATCCCGTTTTATTTTCATACCTACACCGGCCGGTAATAATTTCAGTAGCAAGAATGCGAAGCTGAGATTCAAAGTTCAAACAGCTAGAAGAATTAACGTGAGCTCTCTGTAGCCAAACCACGTTCTAACTAAACTTTTTGATATTTCAGTTTAAATACACATTCGTTCATCCTAACTGATTTACATACTGGCTGAAATAAGACAGAAAAGGCTAAAAAATTAAAATAACTATTAAGGGGCCTCATACACCTTAAACCACTTATGATCTTCGAAATATGTGACTGTTGCAGGAATTGGGATATTTATTTATTTTAAAAGCAATTACTTCCAACATTTTACAGCTAACTACATAATATAGCTGCTTTGGGAACTAGCAACCAGAATGTTTGTGTTGCTACAAATATTTTTGTAATTTAATTCGCTTTGTGACAAAATGTTTCGTCATGTTTCCACCTGGCGCGCATGATATTTTAAAAATGGTTAATATCACATCCTTGAAATTTGATGGAATTCTTTATACGGGCACTATCTTCTAACTGAACCAAAAGTCCGATGAATATTTTAATATTAAAAAATTTTATGCACGAAAACATTACAGATTTTTTTAATAAAATATATTTTATAAACCTAACTCCAAATAAAATAAAAATTTAACATGAATATTTGAATTTGTGGTTCACAGCAATTTCCAAATGTTATAAAATCTATATATTAAACATAGAATTAAATTATTCAAAAGAATGTTTTGAACTGTGCGCGCAAAGGTAGAAACATGACGAAAACTTTGGTCACAAAGCGGATTAAATTATAAAAGTAATTGTGGCAACACAGACTTTCTGATTACTATTTCAGAAACCAGCTATATCATATAATCAGCTGTAAAACGTTGGAAGTAATTGCTTTTAAAATAAGTAAGTTATCCCAATTCTTGCAACAATTGCATATCGAAGATCTTATGGGCTTTAAGGTGTACGAATCCCCTTAATAAAAATAATAGAACAATATACTGTATTCGAGATAAATTTTGATCTTCTGAGGTTCAATGTCTAGCTTCAGGAGAGCCTAAATAATCGTTTGACGATGAGTCTGAATATTGAAATTAGCCTAAATAATAAAATGAAACAAAAGTCCACATTCAATTGGTCTCAGAATTTTTGTTGTGATTTTAGACATGTTCTTTGAAATTTCAACCTACAGTGCGGATGTAGCCGAGATGTACACAAAATAATCCCCAATTTATTTTGTGTAAGACGTTTGAATATATGTCGAATATTACATGATTTATCCAGCCGGACGGTAGCGTACACCGTCTCTTCATGATCAGTTTAACATACATTTTTTTTTTTTTTTTTTTTTTCAAGATTAGGTGTTTAAAGCATTTTCAGAAGTAAATTGGGCAAAACTAAGAAAAATTGCATTTTGATCGATACATAATTTCGCGAAATGTGGGTGATTCGGCTAAATATTCATAATTAATATCTAGATTAAACAAAGCATGCCTAATTATATTTTTAATCATTTATTCCTTAAAATTGGACTGGAATGGCACAGTTAATGCAGCTCCGATTCTAACTCAAATTTAGATTCCTCAGTGTATAACTTGAATCACGTTGAATCATTCACTCACTTTCTAATTCTCATGCTAACGACCCCACTTTAACTCTACTCGTTTGGCTTTCATATTTGAACAGATCCGAACTAATGGCACTCAGGCATACAGTTTATATGCAGTCGTTGCCACACAGTAGTCCTAGATATTGACTTTGTAGTGGTTACGTGTAGAGTCAACTTGTAAGGATCTTAAGTTTTACTAACGTTTATTTTATTTTAAATCTTTACTATCACTTCTTATTTTCTACTTCCGGTCAGAATTAAAAGCTTTAACTTATTTATGCAAATTTGTCTTGCGAACGCCAAGTACTTAAGTTGTGGCTTTTTGCCAAGCGAGAGAAAGAGGAAGGAGTTAGTAGAAGCAGGCCGCTTGCCTCAGCAGTTTTATTCGGTTGCTGGTTGCCTTCTAGGCCAGAGGTTTAATCCTCTTGATAATTTTAAACGTATCGTAGTGTTAACAGTTCTCTGTACTACATATGGCCTTTCTGTTAATATATGGCCAATCTTCGAGCAGAGACTTGTTTATTAATCCAAAGTTAGTTTAGTTAGAATTTAGTTAATATTTTTATATTCTTACGTTCAGACCACAAGTGGTTGGTCTCTGTATTCCGAAGTCCGGAAATCATTGTAAAGAGAGAAAAATAAAGGGTTTCGTATACCCTTCCTGTGTATCTTGTCTACTTCCCACATTTATTGAACATAGCTTTAGTAAGCTCCCTGTTCCGAGTCAGGTCATTTAAATGTTCCCCAAGCAAGTAAGAAGGAACACTGAACCTGATAGTGGCCCCCGACGAAGAAGAATAACCATGGCCGAGTTTCAAGAAGAACCTGTGCTGCCTGCAGAAGCGGCTCAGAATCCAGAAATGCCAGCTGCCGCCCTGGAAGGATTTGGTTACATCGTCCAGACCATGCGCACTTCGATGAAACCAGAAGCAACATTTAATGGAAACTCACCGGTAACCAGTTTTTTGGAAAAATTGGAGGACCACTTCATGATGTATCCCGTGCACGAGTTCCAGAAAGTCACCTTAGCTACCAGCGCTTTGAGGGGCCAAGCGCTTAATTGGTTCAAATGTATAGGCAGAAGTCTCTTGGGTCAAGCAGGAAGTCCCACCTATACTTAAAAAAATTTCAAGACTGCCCTAGTAAAAGCCTTCCCTGTCGTAAGGGATCGTGCAAAATTAGAAACGGAACTTTTCAGCATATATCAGCAACGAATCGAAAATCTTTCTACCTTTATTTTAAGAAATATTCACGTCTTCAAACTCTTGTATGGAAACCGTCCGGATCCTGAGATAATTCAAGTGATTTTACCGAGGTTACTTCCCCAAGTACAAGACTTTATTGAATTAAGGATTTGGTGCGCCTAGACCACAGCAAAGTCACCAATTTGGTGCGCCAAAACCAATTTCGTGCACCAAGACCACAGCAAAGTCAAGCACACGGCTACGGAAGCAAAGCGAATCAGTGGGCAAGGAAACCCGAATATCCAAAAACAGCCGGTGAACGTCGACAGTTCAATAGCAATCCAGGAAAAAAGCCTGAAGACCAGTGGAAAAAGAAGGAAAGCATGGAAAGGAAAAAAGAAGATTTAAACTAAAACGGATTTCTGCTGACGGGAGGGGGCGGAAATCCGAAGGCCAAGAAAACCCCTCTTCCTTCAAGTTAAATACACTAATGGTGAAAAATTTGACTCTTCCAAAGATTGAAGTGTTGGTGAATAAAATCCCAGCCACCGCACTCCTGGATACAGGCGCGCAGTGTTCCTGTGTGGCAGAAGATTTTTTTAGGAAGTATTTTCGGAAATACCGCATATATAATTCGGATAATACGACAGTGTTAGCTGCGCAGGGAGAAAGATGTAAGTGCATAGGTAAATTACCGCTATACGTTCGTATCAAGGACGAACAAGTAAAAATTATGTTTTTTATAGTAAAGAATCTGCAAGCACATATCATCTTAGGAATAGATTTTCTTTCAGAGGCAGAAGCAACACTGGATTTTAACGAAGCGTCCCTTAAGCTGACAATGAAACCAGTCCGGGCAGAAAAGGCTGAACCGCCAATGTTAAAACTTGACCACCTCCCCAATGACGAGCAAGGAAGAATCCGACAAGTGGTAAGTGAATTTGCTTCGTTATTTAGTGATATTCCAGGATTTACTCAGGTTA